GAAGGAGATAGGAGCTTCCCCACCTGTAAGCGAGGCAGAGAGCTCAGCCATGTGTCCTTGAGGCCAAAGCCAGAGTTAAATCCTGTTCAGGAAGAGCAGGAAGATGCTGGCTCCCAGGGTCACCTTCTCTCCTACCTTTCCCACACTCCTGCCCTTGAGCCTCGGACTCTTACCGATGACCAGGTCAGGCTTGGGTCCCTGGAGCAAGTGGTAGGGCCTAGCTGACACCTTGATCTGCAGGTCCCTGCGGCCCCCCTTCTCCTTAGTCCCAGAGCTGAACCGTGCTGATACCCCAGAAGTAGAATGAACAGATACCTCAGGGCCATCCTGTAGGAACAAGACGGGGTTGAGAAAGCCACCAGAAGTTAGGGTAGCAGAGGATGTACCAGGCAAGACAAAGGAGTGGGGACAGGAAGTGCAGGATCCCATCATGAGGTCGGTAGAAGAATGAGGGCTGAAGAGTAGGGCCCCCTCCACTCTCACCCTCTGCAGGGTAAAATGCTGCTGGTCGTTCTCAAGGGGCAGGCCATCACCCACAAACTGCAGCTCCAGGGCCACATGGGGGAGCAGGACCAAGAGCTCCTAAAGGACAGGAAGAAGAGCATGTCTGGGTCCCACCCTATGCCCACTCTCACCCAGTGTCCAGTTTCCAGGCATGGAGAGACTTACCCAAAACACCATGACAAGGTCAAACTCCTTCCCTGCCTCTATCACGTGGATCTTCAGTGACTGCTTGTTCTGGATGTTGAGCTCAGGGACTGGCAAGAGGCCAGCTCTTTAAGATTATGGTCTCCCTCACTCCCCCTCCCTGCATCCCCCATCATGCTTTGTATTTCTTACAGGACTGGGGCACCAGGTGTGTGATGATGTAATACACAGTCAGCGGGTAGGTGAGAAGCACGGCCATGGGGGAGTCGAGACTGAGGCCTCGCCAGGTGTAGTAATCCTGCCATTTGCCTGGAGAGAGTGGGTTACTAGAGGACCTCTCTGGTATAATGGCCTCCCTTTTCCTCAGTCACTGAGGCTTCTAGCCCTCCAGTCCCTGTCTCAATTCCTACCTCCCTCAGGGTCCCTCCAGCTCACCAAAGGGGCCCCTGGGTGGGTCCGAGGGCACTGGAGGCATCAGGGCAGCCCCATCCCCTTGGAGAAGTTGGTATGGATCTCCTGAGGGATTGAAAGAGAGGAGG